GAAATAAGAGATGAGCCTTTCGTCAAGTGGCCAGCCAAGCTAGGAGAAGCCCAGAAGGATTATGACGAAAGATCACGGTGCACCTTCCACAAAGAAAAAGGGCACCGCACTGAGAATTGCATACCATTAAGACAACACTTGGAAGAGTTGGTGGCAGCAGGCCACTTGGACAAATATATTGAAGGAGGGACGCAACCAGCCCCCCAAGATCACAATAACCCCAACGGAATGCCAATCGATGCCCCACCTCAAGGTATTATCAATGTAATACATGGAGTCTTTGAACCTGAGCGTGTATGCGAGCTCAGAGGATCAATCAAGAAAGCTGAGCACTTTAGAGAAGTGTTAAGTGCACAACCTGCCATCAAGAAGGGGAAGACAGAGGCAACAAATGTTATGTCTTTTTCGGATAAAGACTTGGATCGAATATACTGTCCTCACAATGATGCCCTAGTCGTCACTCTCCGAGTCAAGGATTTTGACGTCAAGCGGATTCTGATTGACCAGGGTAGTTCATGTGAAATCATGCACTACGACACATTCAAACAACTGAAGCTACAAGACAAAGACTTGGCGCCAGCCGTGTCTCCCCTGATTGGATTCAACTCCATGCCAGAATGGCCCGTCGGCAAAATAATTCTTCCGGTCAGAGCAGGAAGCGTAACAAAAACAAGTGGGAGTTCTGGGTAATTCGAAGTCCCCCCACTTAACAACATCATCTTGGGCAGAACAAGGCTGGCATTGCCATGCTCAGTGCGTCAGTCCTACCACCAAGTAATGCGGTTCCCAACAACACCGCGATAATGAAGAAAATCTATGGAGATCAATCATGTCAAAGCAATGCTTTCGTCACGGCGATGGCAAGCCCGCGCTCAAAGATATGTTCATTTCGCGTGAAGAACCGGAGAGTAATGAGGCTATTCTACAGATGTCGGCAAAGCGGCGGACGGAAAAGCAGTGGAGGACCAAGGAGATGGCCAAAGTTAAGGCCAAACTGGGAAGGTGCCTACAAAGTGGTTGGTTAACAGACAAAGGGGCATTACGCCAAGACAAGGCACAGGCAAAGCAATCCCTAGGCCAGGAACACGGCCAACCCTAAGTTATTTTAACTTTTAGTTTTTTCTTTTCTAGACGTGTAATTTTTTCTTTCTTCAATAAAACATAGCGATTCTTTTCAGACATTGAGTTGTTCTCTGTAAAGTTAGGCTTTTAGTGAAGATTAGGTACATAGCAAGCATTTTACTCTAAGTTGCTGGAAAAACTAACTTTAGAGGTGGCTGGAATAAACCAACACCCCTCTAAAGCCCAGGATAAAGGATCCAGCTGCAGGACGTTTGGTCGGAATAACCATACTTTATCTAAGTTAGCTGGAAAAACTAAACTTAAGAGGTTGGCTGAATAAACCACCCCTTCTAAGCCCAGGATAAGGATCCAGGTTGCAGGACGTTTGGTTCGTGAATAACCAAACTTTTTCTAAGTAGCTGGAAAACTAACTTAGATTGGCTGGATTAAACCAACACCCTTCCTAAAGCCCAGGATAAGGATCCAGGCTGCAAGGACTTTTGGTCGGAATAACGCAAATACTAGAAAGTTAGCTGGAAAAACTACTTTCAAATATTGGCTGGAATAAACCAACCACTGTTTACTTTTTCTTCGCCGAAGTAAAGGGTATGGCTGAAGAGTGGTTGGCTGGAATAAAACCAACATCTATGTTACTCTCCAGCCGAAGTAAGGTATGGATGAGAGTGGTTGGCTGGATAAACCACTTTGTTACTTCTTAGCCGAGAGTAAGTGCAAGGCTGAAGAGTGGTTGCTGGAATAAACCAACTCTTGTTACTCTTCAGCCGAAGTAATGTGTATGGCTGAAGAAAGGTTGGCTTGGAATAACAACTCTTGACTCCTCAGCCGAAGTAGAAGCGTATCGGCTAAGGAGTGGTTGGCTGGTAAGCGGTAGTTTAAAGCCAAAACCGGAAGTAGAAATAGTGTAATAGAAAGACATTAACAAAGCAAGCATACACACAAAGCCGGAAGTAAGAGTTGCGCCAAATTCCATTCATTAAAAAGGTAGACAAGAGGGGCATAGCCCGGTTACAAAGACGAAATAACAACAAGAAAAAGTACAAGAGTCAAGAAAAAAGATCTTTCAATCTCGGCGTCAAAGGCACATCGGCTCAACCTGAAGACCGGTTTTCTGGCGCAAGGACGTTTTCTGAAGGTAGGAATGGTTTTCGCCGGGCCACGGTTTTCACTTGGTTGATTAATAGTTAGATCATTCACATGGGCTCCGACCGAACTACCTGAACTGCATTCACAACCGAAGTTATCCTTCAGGGCAGTGTCTCATCAGAATTCTTCATTCGTCCAGAGACCTACAAGGAACTGCTGTGTGCATGGCCTTGGATACTCCATCACGGGAGTTCGGTATAAAGAGGCTGGAGGTTGTGAAAACCTCGGTCTGAGGATCAATGACCGAAGCGTCTCAACGGCCCCTCCAGCGCACTTGAAGAACAGCTCCTTGGCAGCATCGCATTGTTTGGCTAAGCATCGCTGCCCTCTTGAAGCCTTGTTTGTTAAGCCCCATCACCTTTCTCCTTGTTTTCGGCATCCTCTTCTTCAGCTTCACACAGCTCACGCAAGTACTTGTCCCTTCAGAGCAATGCAGTCTTTTGTTTTTCAGCTTCGGCCGAACTAACCATTCCGGTCCAGTCGGCCGACCTCGCCTCGGAGTTCGGCCATTTCCTTTCTGGCCTTTCCAGTTCGGCCGACCTTCCCCCGCCTCTGCTTCGCCTGCTTGCCTAGTCACTTTTCCTCAGCTCTAGCACTTTCCTGTGGGTGATTTGGTTTTTCTGAATGGCCTGACAAAGGGGCAACAACTTCCTTTAAGCCGAAGAAAAAAGTTGAAAAAGAAAAGAAAAATAAACAGAAAAGCGAGACGCGAAAGTTATAACCAGAATCATAGATTTGTGGCAGACCGGAGGACTTCAGCTCGGTTGTCAACCTGTTTTTGGTGATGCCCATATCTTGGGAGACAACGCTCTGCCAGATTGATGGCGCACAGGTGGTCTTTCTCACAACAACCGAGTCTGTGTCTAGAATTTCTCGGTCGTTTGAAAGTTAAGTTTCGGTGCCAAGCAGCCGATTGGTTTGGTCGGAAGACACCGTTGGGGGCTTGGTGGTAAGCTTCGGCTGAATAGCAGGTTCTTCATCGACCAAAACCTGTTCGGTTTCGGAAGTTTCGGGGCACGTTTGGTTCGGTGGAGGAGGAATGTGCTGCTGACGAAGGGAGGGCCACAACAGGCAGGCTGCGATTGACTTGGGAGGGGTTACTTCGGCCTAGTGTTTCGGTGAGAAGGGCCCTAAACTCTGCTCCTTTTCGCCATCTCTTCTTCTGCGGTTAGTGGAAACAAGTCTTATCTCGGGCAGGATGGGTCCGGTTCAGGTGCTTCTTCAAGAAGGAAGTCAACTCTTGCTTTTCGGCGACCACTAATACCGGTAGGTCGGTTCAAAATCAAGAAGCTGGCCCACCTCGTTCTTTAATCCGTAGTGCGGTCGCAACCCGCAAGGTTGATAGCGTAATAGAAAATGCAGGTGGCGAAATCTGCAAAAAGAAGACGTGTTAGTTCGGTTCAATAGATAAGAAACGAGATAACAAACAAGAACAAAGACCGAAGTTTTAAATTACCAGGCTTCTCCATTTTCCAATTTTATAGGTCGGCCAGGGAATTTGGCTGAAAATCCTCAAAATTCCCAGAGACCCAGAAGAAGTCATTCATCATTTAAAGGTCTTATGTCCGGTTGTACTTGACAATTCTTCTCTCCGCGGCGGATTCCTAAGTATAGACCCATCCAGCATCTTTCGAGCCGATGGAAATATTGTGGAATATTTCGGCAGGCCGAGGTTTTAAACCGGTTTGGTGGTTTAGTGCGGCTATTCCCATAACTGATTCGGTATGTATTGGGACAGTTGGTGGGCATAACCTAGTTTGCCTAAGGAATTTCGCAGATCAACGGTTGTACAGGAACCGGGTAGTCCGGTTTCTATTATGGATTGAAGAGTAAAAGGACGAAGCCTTCCGTTTATTCCCGGGTGTGATGTCTTTTTTCGGCCAAAGTCAATTGGACGTCATCCGGGATGTTATATTGTCCTTCCTTGAATTCGGCCATCCCACCAGGGTCTCAACTAAATACCATACTTACCCATTCTGTTTATAAGTTATGAATTAAGTTATCTCGGCGCAAAACGTGCTCAGAAGCTCGTTGAGCACAACGCAGGAGTGCCTGGGCAACCTAAGTCGGCAAAGTAAAAAACAGGGGTTTAAAGCACTGATCAGTGGACCGCTGCTAAATTTAACGAAGCAAGGTATTAGACCCTACTTCGGCCTCAATTGGCTGGTTCTATTTCAGGTTCATCTAAGGGTTTGGCACCTCGCTTGACAGTTTTGCTCGGTAGACCGTTTTAACGTCTAGGGGCAGCTTTCTGAGTTCGGTCCTAAAAACTACCAGAAAGCTGTTTAAGTCCCAAGGCCTAAATCGGTTGCGGTGTGGAGGAAAGTTACTCCGTTGAGCCACCTAGGGGCGGCTTTCTGAGTTCGGTTTCAGAACAAAAAAAAAAAAAAAAAAAAAAAAAAAAAAAAAAAAAAAAAAACCCCAAAAAAAAAAAAAAAAAAAAAAAAAAAAAAAAATCAAATTCGAGCCAATTTTGAGCCAAAAATTTTGAGGCCTCAATCATTAATGTTTTTATTATGGGTATTAAAAAGATGTTTTTTTTTTTTTTTTTTTGACCATAACCTAACTCATTAATCATCCATTAATCATCTAAACAAACGGAACAATGATTGATATCATTAATTTTGAAGCATTAACAACATGAAAAATAATAATAATAATAATAAATACAAAGTCAAAACACCTCATGTAAGACCCACACCAGTATTAAAATTATTAGAGCTCTTGAATCAATGGTTTAGAACATTTTCCAAACAAATAATCAAGATTCTTTTTCTTTTCCCACTAAACTCCTCTCCAAACGTAGTGTTGTGTTGTTAGTGCTCCTCTCCTTTTTGGCGCGGTGATGACGTGGGGGGCATCTACGTCTTCGTTCTCGACCTTGTGTTATTTTAATGGCTCTGCTCTCTGCAACACCCATTTCCATTAACTCCTCTCGCTCTCTCTCTCTCTCTGTGGTCCGCAATTTAAGGCCTTCTTTCTCTCTCTCTCTCTCTCTCTCTCTTTCTCTCTCTTCAAGTGCGGCTGGTTTCCACTGAATTCACTGGCGAATGGACTCCGCAACGATCGCCATGAGAGCTTATTATCCTCCTTGCTTCACCAAACTTCCAAACCCTAACCCTAACCCTAACCCTAATTCTAGGCTCAATTTCTCCTTCTTCAAATCCTTCAACTGCGTTCAAACCCCAAACCCCGATTTCAATTCTTCGTCTCCTTTGAAACGGACCTCTCGAAACTCCTCTATCTCTTCTTCTTCTTCGTTTTCATGTTCGGTGGTGATTTCGTCTCCTTCTTGACGAGTAATCTGCGCGTCGGGGTGTAAGCTCGATCGGCTTATCTCCGAATTCCAATCCATCTCCAACCCAACCGACCGATTGAAGCGATTGTTTCACTACGCTACTTTGCTTCCTCCATTTAATGATTCGCTGAGAAAGGATTCCAATCGAGTTATGGGATGTACAGCCCAGGTTTGGTTGGACGTGATGATGGAAGGTGATGGGAAGATGAGGTTTAAAGCGGACAGTGATTCGGAGATTACAAAAGGGTTTTGCTCATGTTTGATTTGGGTTCTTGACGGGGCACCGCCGGAGGAGGTGTTGGGTTTGAAAACGGAAGATTTGGGGGCTTTGAATGTTGGTGGATTACAGGGTCGGAGTAATTCTAGGGTAAATACTTGGCATAATGTTTTGATTGGTATGCAGAAGAGGACTAAAGCTCTGGTTGCGGAGCGAGAGGGGAAGCCACCAAGTGAGCTGTTTCCATCTCTGGTTATTACTGCAGATGGTATGGATGCCAAGGGAAGCTATGCTGAAGCTCAGGTGAGCAATTTGTAGCCATAGCTCTGTAATTTTATTTCTCAAAATAGAAAATGAATGTATGATATGCTTTTGTTTTAGATAAATGTGAATGGGTGCGCTTTATTATATATATTATTGTTGTCTTCAATCTTATGCAAACTATATTGCTTAGCTAGTAGACCCAATTTTTGTATTGGTTTTTGCAAAAGATTTAGTTTTGTGGCGAAAAGTAGCAATTTTGAGTCAATTGCTCAGAGACTTCTTAGGTAGAGTTTTCTGTGTTTTTCTTTGTTACACAGAGATCCAATTATTTGTAAGCTTCAGTTCCTCTCTTTGGATTTAGAAGTTCCTCTATATGTGTTTCGTAATTTTAGATAATCAATTTTGGAAAAAAAAAAAAATGCAATAGGAAACTTCTAGTGGATGTTATGATATTCAGGAATTATGTAACTTTGGAAAATAGGGAATTAAACAGAATGATCAACTGCCCTGCATCCATGCTTGAATTGGTTCACAGACTCTTCTGTCACTAGACTCACTACCTTGTCTTGATTTCTAAGTGTTGACTGGTATTTTAGGAAGCATGGATACGGATACGGCAATACGAAAAAACCTAAAATACCTAAGAAGTATTGGTATCTGATATGGATACAATACAAATGCGTCACCCTTTTGAAGTATCCGTGCTTCATAGGTGGTGTATGCTGTGGAAAGAATCTAGTTTACATCTTGTTGAAGGTAAAAAACCATTGTACTTGTGTGTTTGAATTAGAAAGTGCATTACTGGGTTACCTTCAGGTTGGGTGGACTATTATTAAGTCTTTTTCCTGACACAATTTTTGGGCATAAGAGGTGGTTCCTTGGGTTTTCCTCATTTAAAATTATTTCATTTGTTTGTGGAAAACAAACGGCCTAGACTAAATTGGTACTATGCTTTCTTAGTTGGAAAGAGTTGAATATTTCCCTTTGCATGTTATTTATTTATAAGTTATAACTAAGTACTACTTCCCATGATGAATTTCCTGAATGCAATAAATCCTAAGTTACATTCAAGTGTACTTGCAGGCAAGGTTTTTGTTACCTGATGAGTTGAAGGTTCAAGAACTTGTCAATGTGCTAAAAGAAAAGAAAATTGGTGTTGTTGCACACTTTTACATGGATCCTGAGGTCCAAGGTGTCTTAACTGCTGCCCAGAAGCACTGGCCTCACATCCATATATCTGATTCGCTGGTTATGGCAGATTCGGCTGTCAAGATGGCAAAAGCTGGTTGCCAATATATTACAGTTCTAGGTGTTGATTTTATGTCCGAAAATGTGCGTGCAATCCTTGATCAGGCTGGCTTCTCAGAGGTAGTCTTTTCCTCTTCTTTTCATGTCTTCTTATTTCATCACTTTGTCAGTTATAGATCCAATTCTAAAACAGAGGGCACAGTTTTCAAGTTAACGGAGTAAAAAGTGCTACTTGGTCGACAAATATTTTAATGCCCATTAAGGAGGAAAAAAAAGTTTAAAAAAAATATAAAAGTAGATACAACAAAACTTTTGTAGAAACCTATATGTTTCATGCTGGTCATAACTTACATACACTATGCCTTCATATCTTTTTAATTAGTGTGAAATTCATGAAAAGTAATTTTGTTATGTTGTTGCTATCTGCAACCTTTATTTTATGTAGTTTGCTTTCAGTTCCTTTCTGCATTTCACTTCTAGTGATACTCCAATCTAGTAATTTTATGAGGGGGTTTAGGAAAAGGTGCATTTACAGTTTCACCTGTAGAAATTCTTTATTAAGGTGGAAACTCTTTACCCTCATCTGAAGATTGTTATAAAACCCACTGCACTTAATCAACAAGCTGCTCCTGTTGTTTCATAGGGCTTTATTTCTAAAAAATACTTGTATGAGTTAACTTGAACCTAATGATGCCTACAATTTATTTGTGGTGGGTTTAGGGCTAGAGTTTTGTTTGGTGGAAAATAGTTTATTAGTTTTCTGATTAAAAGGGTTGAAATTGACCTGAATTAGAAAGTGTATAGTAGTTAGTTTTTTAGAGAAGAGGTGATGAAAATTCTCTAGACCGCAATGTTTTATGGGTTTTTGGTGATAACTCAAAGAGAAAATGATATAGGAAAGGGTTGGGATTGAATGAGGACCAATAGACTTTTTGAGGTTGAAATCGAGGTTGTTTTAGGGTTGTGAACTGTTAACCAAACCAAGCCAAGCCTCTTCTCCCAATCAAGTAGGGTTGGCTACGTGAATCCTTTTTGATCATTCCGCTCTGTCAATGACTATGTGCTTAGTTAAATTAAATAAATTCTATGCTTGTTATGTGCCTGTTATTATTGTGTAATAGACCTTTGTATTTCTTCTTATTATGTTTTTTAATTACCACAAGAGGTTCTGAAATATGAAACCTCTGTGGATATGTCTAGTCAATTGCAGAACAGGGTTTCGATTCATGGGAAGGTGAAGATTCACTAATTAATGCTGCTTTCATGTGGTTTTGTACATGGATTAGATATGGCATGTCTCATTCATTATAAAATTGGTAGTATTATATGGCTTATACAGCTGAACCAATTTGTAGTTTTGCTCCTATCTGTATCTTATTGTTGATCTGTTATTTTCAGGTTGGTGTGTACCGGATGTCAAATGAACGCATTGGTTGCTCCTTGGCTGATGCTGCTGATAATCCTGCATATATGGAATATCTTGAGGCAGCTTCTATGGCATCTCCTTCTTTGCATGTTGTCTACATTAATACTTCTTTGGAGACAAAAGCGAATGCTCATGAACTTGTGCCAACAATAACCTGTACTTCATCTAATGTTGTGCCAACCATTCTACAGGTTGGTGATAAGCATCATTTAATGCTTGTGCCATTTGTTGCTTCCACTTGAGTGGAAGTGCTTGTTTTTCCATTCCATGAATGCAAATTTTTTTCTCCTTCCAGGCATTTGCTCAAGTACCTAACTTAAACATATGGTATGGACCTGACACCTACATGGGGGCAAACATAATGGAGTTGTTTCAACAGATGACTGTGATGACTGATGACGAAATTGCTGAGATACATCCAGAACACAACAGAGACACAATTAGATCATTGTTGCCTCGCCTGCACTATTATCAGGTGATTTCAATTTTTGATGCTTGGGAAATCAGGACCGTGTATTGAATGCAAAATGACTTATAATCTGTGCTGTCGTTTTCAACATGCATTTGTAGACACCTTGTTAATTAATGTACAGCCATCCTAAGTAACTTTTACGCTTATGTGGTGACTGTTAATTTTTGTGTGTCAGGATGGAACATGCATTGTACATCACCTTTTTGGACATGAAGTTGTTGAGAAGATAAAAGAAATGTATTGTGACGCGTTTCTAACTGCTCATTTTGAGGTCCCTGGAGAAATGTTCTCTCTTGCAATGGAAGCCAAGAGAAGAGGAATGGGGGTAGTAGGTTCCACCCAAAACATATTAGATTTTATTTCACACAGGGTACAAGAGGCTCTAGATAGGAATGTGAATGACCACCTTCAATTTGTTTTGGGAACAGAATCAGGAATGGTGACTTCAATTGTGGTGACGGTTCGCAGATTGTTGAGTTCTGTGAAGTCCTCTTCTGGGAGAGCTAAAGTTAGTGTTGAGATTGTGTTTCCTGTCTCATCAGACTCGGTGACAAAGACACCTACGAGTTCATCCAATAGCTTAACTTTAGGTGAAGCTGGAGACTTTATGAAAGTCCCTATTATACCAGGAGTTGCAAGTGGAGAGGGATGTTCTATTCATGGTGGCTGTGCTTCCTGCCCATACATGAAGGTCAGCATTTGTTTTATTGTATATCGTACTGCTTAATTGCTTTCTTTTCCTTTCCTTTTACCGTAGTAAATCAGTTCGTCTACAAGTAGCTAGCTGTTAATTTTTGTAGAATGCAGCATATTTCAAACTACAAGGTTTGTATTTTCATAGAAACCTGTGACAAAGGCTTGGTAAATGCACCGATACCTTTCTGAAATAGGTTTTTGCGAAATAGATCAGAATTATGTTGGCTAAATATTAAACTTCCTTGGTACAAGGATAAGATACCTTTGAAACTGCCCAATAGATGAAATGGTAACACAACGCTTAAATTTTCTATTACATTGTCAAGAAGACACGAGGAGGAAGTTAAATCTGGGAATCTTATGAAGTAAAAGATTGGGGTTGCATGGTGGTTGTAAGATTTCATTTTTTCATTCTAGTTTTTTTGAATAAAGAAAGCATCATCAAACTTAAAATGCATGGTTCATAATTCCAATTTTTAACTGCAGTTATGTTCATGATTGTGAAATAAATTTAAGTACTGCTGCAAGAGAGATACTTCCCTTGAATTTTGTACTTAGGTGCAGTTGGTTTGCCTCTTTTTTGCAAGAAAGTAATTAATCAAAAAGCATGCTAGCCCCTTTGCTAGTTTGTATTTTGAATATGATGCGGAACTAATTTGTTCTCCTGTTTGGAGCTAGTATATCTAATTTCGGCGCTGCTTTATGCTCACATCTGAGTTTTGTAGAATTAGTTTATGTTTATTGTCATCACAATCTGTATACCGAATGAATTTCTTAGCCGTACACTCATCTGCAGCCTCACTTGTTGCTGTTTTATCGAATTGGTACTAGAGTAGCATGGTTCTACTTAAATCTGGCAAAACCTTAGCAAACCTTGTTGAACCAAATGGGTCCGGGGTAGCTTTGCAGCCAGATTGAGATGAACCAAACGTATTTTCGAATTATTATGGTTTTAGTATATCCCTATTAGAAAGTTATATTTTTGTTCCTCTTGGAAAGAAACTATTTTTTGTTGTTCTTCTTGTCATGCTTGTTTCTTTCATCCGGCATATTTCAGTCTACACAAAATTTGACCTGATGTGAATCAAACCAAATTTGACCAGTTGTCACCTGTCATGGTTCAATACATCAACTGATATTGCTGTAGGCATTTGGTGGTTTTTTTTTAAGCTTGTGTATTTTGTTACAAAGTTCCATATCTGAAATCTGGGCTTTTGCAATTTGGATCTATTTTTACGTGTCAGATGAATTCTCTTAGCTCCCTCCTCAAAGTGTGCCACCACCTGCCCGATGAAAAACATAACCTTTCAGACTACGAAGCTGGACGATTGAATTTGCAAACACGACATGGAAAACTAATTGCAGATGTTGGTTGTGAGCCAATACTCCACATGAGACACTTTCAGGTTAGTTTCCTTGAAATTTGTCACTCTCTCCATAACCATTACATGGAGTTTCAGTTGATTTTATGGCGGTTCTTTTTTACTGCTTTCACAGGCAACAAAAAGACTGCCGGAGAAACTCATCCATCAGATCCTTCATGGTTGTGGCAACTGAAAATCAATGGCATTTAGTTAGTGAAGTTGCTATATCATCTTGGAAAGTCTGAATGCCAATTCTATCATGTGCTTGAAAAGGCCTCATAGAAAATTCACCATGGCAACAATTTTTTTGCTTCAATTTATAGAAAGTTTCATATATATTTATATATATATAGTTTTGTGTTGTACTCTTTCTCTCTCTCTCTCCATTTGCTGATTTATTTGTTTACCGTGTAGTTTTGTGTTAGATTCATAGAAGTGCAATGAGGTTGAAAAATGTTTGTACTTTACAATTGTACAGTTGTGAACTACCAAAATTCCTCCATGGAGATGTTTGTACTGTCACTGGAATGACTATTTATATTCAGCAAAATGAGTAGAAAATGGTATTCTGGAAATATATCAGAGTGTTTTGTACTCCGTTTTGCCCTTTTTCTTGGAGCAAATGTCATATAACCTCTAAACTATCTTTAGAAAATTAATGGGGTACTTACGTGTAGGTCTTAATAAGTGGATTTATCGTCTAATAGGTCTTATGAGAAAATTTTGTCATAAAAAGTCACTAATTGTAAGTTTTAGTAACAATTTATAAAAATCATGACAAAAAAGTCATTAATTGTCAATTTTTAGCGACATATATAAAAAGTTGTCACAAAAAAATTATTTTTAATGGCAATTTTATTAAGATTTATTTTCAATAGGATTTGATGGAAACTAAGTTCAACTATTAGGATCTATTAATAATTTACCTAAAATTTATTTTAATATGATCTCTGTTTTTTAGTTATATTAGTTTTTCAAGTAAATTAATTTAATTTGAATCAATGTGGCCTTGTCATCTATAATATGATGAAATTTCTTTATTTTACTCCCAAATTATCTGTTAAAAATCAATTAGACTTTTTGAACACAGAGAGTTTGGGAATGGAAAAAGATTTTGTTTGATTTTTTTTGTTTTTGATAACTAGGTGTTTGGGTGAGTTTACGTGCATTTTGATTAATCTCGGGGGCTAATCTCACCACTCACTTGTTTGGGGGGCTCCATTTAAAGTTAGGGCATACGCCCCCAAAGAGCTTATATTACAATTAGTGAGTATTAAACTTGAGCTTTTGAGACTTGGAAGAAGCACACCTCTAGGTGCCTGTGACAATCTCGACCCATGATTAACTGTTAAATCATGATTAATAATGCTTAATAAGTAATTAAGATGAAATCCTAAGTTAATTACATGCGTATTGCATTATTTGTGTTTATATCTGTTAGCGGTAGGAATATATGTTTGTGTCTCTGTTTTGTTTTGCGAATTGAAGGTCTTATCGGTATCCGATCACGAAATTGACTTGAATTATGTGTTAGTTGGAATTTTTTGAACATTATGGTAAGTTTAATTGAAATTCGATTCAGAGCGAAATAATTAGAATAAAATAGTACAAATTTATTTAAGTTAAGTAAAACTTAATTAAGTTCCCTATTTAAGCCTATATAAGGCATAGACATCACTTTGAGACATCTTCTCTTCATCACTTTGAGCCTAAAACGTGAGAGAGGAGAAGGGACCAAGAGAGTTTGGGATCAAACTTTGAGTTATGAAAGGAAATTGCTAGGAGATTGGAGAATTATTTAAGAGCATCACCAAACCTTAAAAAATTGAAGACTATGTGAGAATCTTATCTTTAAGTTTTGTACTCAAGACATATGTGATAGAGTTCAAGATAGTAAGATGGCTTAACATGAGAATTGAACTTAGATTAAAGAATTTGGGAAGAATCATTGCATGCATGCATAAGTCATGAAATTTTGAGTTTAATTTCAAGAATTTCAACATGCATGTGTTCATCTTGCCTTTGGTTTGAGAATTCATGAAGTTTACAACCAAATTATCTCAATAGTTCAGGATTTGGAAGCTTTAAAGTCAAGAACTTCTATGCATGGCATGTTTTCAACATTTCAAGTTTGAGTTTGAGCAATTCATATGCTTTTGGGCCTTGATTTTACGAAATTGTTTTCATTTCAAGAAGTTATAAGTTTATCTATATGCTTTCTCAACTTTGGGCTCAAAAATATGTGTATTGAAAAGTTAAAGATGGGTTTTGCAGTTTGGGGGTGAATCTGGAAATTCCAAAGTTCGTGCGCTTGAGCGACCATCTTTGTTTTTGTACCTATACGTAGTCCATTGAGTTGTGAAGACATATATGGAATAGATAATTTAAAACTTTTATAAACTTGCGAATAACGTCAAAAGATACAGTATTTACACATCATTCCATGAACATATTATCAGAAATCTTGCCCGTAAATCAAAAGAAACAAAGTCTAGTATATTCACAAAAACAACCACCAAACTTGACTTAATCCGGAACCCCTTCAGGAGGCATAAAGGTTGGCTGACAAAAACTGAGATGCCAGGTCCTCAACTCTGAGTTTGGTCACGTACCTGATCTCCTACATGCATAATATAAATAGTAAGCGGAAGTCCAGTGAATAATAACGGAGTAAAGGATTTAATGAATGAAGTCCATACCAGATTCAGAAATCATAATTCAAATTCATAAATAGATTCATATTCTTATCCTTGTTCAAAACATACACAGAGGTCAGAGTTCATGCTTAATTATACGTGGTACATCCATTAGTACTAACAGAACAGATGTAGAACATATAGTGGTTATGAGTAACCAGTTCCATAAAGGAACCTCCGGATCCAAGTAACAAATGGCAGATATACTGAGCCCCATGATGGAGTCTGCGGTACGGGTAACAGATGACAGACATAATAAGTTCCATAATGGAACCTCCGATATTGGGTAATAGCTAATAGATATCACATGATGCAAAGGATGCCACGAATACATTGTCAGAATTTGGATAATCATTCATTGTGTAGAGCATATCATTTCAGAAAACAGATCTTAATTCATTATACAGAAAATAAATAGAGTTGAACATACATTTATTAAGTTATTACTCACAATTGGCTTCGGGTGCAGACAGACAGAGCAGACTAACCAAACGGTTTACGGCACGTGACCTACATCAACATATAACAAATACACATTTGAAACACACGTTGGAACATACTTAACTCTTTATGTTCTATTCATAGTGTGTTTCTACACGTTACCCTCATTATTATGTCTTAATTTTGGCCTAGGGATGCCTAGGATGGAATGAGGATACAAAAATGCATTTGACAATACTTGGTCAAATTTTTTTGAAAAAAGGGTTCCCGCTCGAGCGTAGCTTCCCCTACTTGAGCGAACATGCAATTTGTGAGGAGACGCTTGAGCGCAACTTCCCATGCTCGAGCGCTCTGAAATTTTCTAAATAGTACTAGTTATGTGATTTTCACGCTCGACGAACGCTCGATGGTTGCTAGAGCGTAAGACTCATTCCCCCGCCCGAGCGTGACTCTTGCCGCTCGAGCGGTCTGCAAAAACATGTAACTTCTGGAAGTATGTAATTCACGCTCGAGCAAACTTCTGGTCGCTTGAGCGGAGATGCAAAAACAAAGGTGGCTGCTCGAGCGCAGAATCTCACGCTCAAGTGGAGAGCAAAATTCTGAAATTTTCAGGTTGCTCATCTTTGCTCAAAACTCGAATTCCATACCTTAAAACTCATTTTCTTGGGCCAAGATTTTGGAAAATATTTAAGAACTTGTAAAACATCATGGATGAAGTTCATTTCATGAAATCAAGGCCCAAAAGCAAGCCAATTGTACAAAAATGCAATTTGAAAAGTAAAAATATGCTATAAATATGACAAACATGTATTCATTTGAACTCATAGCTTCTTGTAACAACCCCAACCCATGATTAACGTTAATCCATGCTTAATTATGCTTAACAAGTAATTAAGAAAAAATCCTGAGTTAATTATATGCGCATTGCATTATTTTATGTTTGTATCTGTTTAACATAGAAAGATTTGTTCATGCTTTTATTTTGGTTTGCGAATTGAAGGCCTTATCGGCATCCAATTCAGAAATTGACTTGGTATATGTGCTATTTGGAATTTTTAGAACATTATGGTAGGCTCAATTGAAATTCGATTCGGAACGATTAAATTAGATTAATTTAATACCCATTTGATTAGTTTTAATAAACCAACATTAAAGAAGCCTATATAAGGCTCTATATAAGCCGCACTCAACTCTTTTTCTTCATTGTCAAACATATTTGAGCTATCACACACACACAAGCGTGTGAGAGGAAAGGACCAAGAGAGGGAGTTGAATTCAATAAGGTTTTGGCTTAGAAACTTAAGGAATTGGTGGTGTTGAACAAGACTTCTTAAGAATCAAAAGAATTAAGGCTTCTAGGTAAGAACTCAACCTTGCCACCTTGAAATTGAACTATTTAGTACAAGAAACCAAAGAATTAAGCTATATGATGCTAGAATTGAGCTTGAATGAAAGAAAATGGGTCATACCATGCATACATGTCCATTTCTTTACAAATTGAGCATGATTTCCAAGAATTCCCTCATGCATGTCTTGAATTCACTTTGATTGTGGGAAATTATCAAGTTTCATGTTGTTTTGTAGCATTTGATCATGTTATGAAAAGATTGAGTTCAAAGGAATTCATACATGTCATGTTCATGGAACATTCATACCTTTTAAGTTGAATTTTTGCACAAGTGGCAAGCTATTAGGCCATGATTTCTTGAAATGATCTTTAATTCATGTTATTTTAAGAGTTTCTATGTATTTTCCCAAGTTTTGGCCTAGAAAAATCAAGTTTTGGTGCTTAAGGATTAAGTTTTGAACTTAGAGATCAAATCTGAAAATTGCAGAATTTGCATTTACACTCGAGCGTAGGAATCCACGCTCGAGCGACCACTCTGAGTGCGTGCACTTTCACTCAAGCGACCTGAAGTGCGCTCGAGCGTGAAATGCAAGCCCTCAAAAGTTCTTGTGTTTTGCAGCACGCTCGAGTGAGGGTCTGAGTCTCACGCTCGAGTAGGGATTGAGTGTCCGTCGAGCGTGAAAAACAAGTAACCAATACTTTTTCAAAGTTTGCAGACCACTCGAGTGAAGGAAGTTACGCTCGAGCAAGCCCTCACATTCTACATGCCCGCTCGAGCGAGGAAAGCCACGCTCGAGCGGGGACCTTGTTTTCCGCAAGTTTTGAAAAATGTTTTCTAATGTAATTTTGCATCCTCATTCCATCCTAGGCATTCCTAGGCCATGATTAAGACACCATAATGAGGGTAGCATGTAGAAACACACTATAAATAGAACGTAATGAGTTAGATATATTCCAACGTGTGTTTCAAAAGTGTTTTCGTTATATGTTATGCAGGTCACGTGTCGTAAACCGTTTGATTAGTTTGCTCTGTCTGTCTACACCCGAAGCCAACTGTGAGTAATAACTTAGTAAAGCTATGTTCAACTTTAT